TATGTATCAAATTTCGTTTAAATTCTTCCATAAATAAAAAAGTTGGCACTGCGCATGCGCAAAACCAAATTTTGAAACTGGCGTTTGATTTTCCTTTATTCCAAGTGCCTATGTATCAAATTTCATTCAAATACTTTTATAAGTAAAAAAGTTTGCAATTCGGTTTATAAATGGTCGAGATGCGAAAAGGGCACTGTGAATTTTGAATCGATTCGATTCAACTTTTGGCATTGCGTATTATATGGCTAAATCTATGCCCATATTGAATTTCATGCAATTCAGTTCATAACTAACGGAGATGTAAAAGCGATCGAACATTTCTAAACAAAGTTATCGTTCACACGGACAGATAGATGGACAGACAGACAAAGAAACAGACGGAGGGACCAACCGGCAGGCGACAGATAGCAATGCAAAATTATAAAACGATCTCTAGGATCGTTAATAAACGGCAAAAGTGTAAAATTATGGAACATGTGAAAAACGGTTTTTTGTTTTTTTTTACAATAACTTTTTTTGTAAGCGGTACAGAAAAAATTCCTTCCTTGGTACAAGACTCGACACCATAACGAACCAAATAGCGAAAAAGTAGAACAATAGCTCTTAAGATAAAGAACTAGTAGCGTCGCAAAACGAGCGGACGGACGGACGGACGGACGGACAAAGTGGCCACAATAGCGCATTTTTTTATTTTTGTGGAAATGCGCTAAAAAGAAACACTGTCCTTGGGATGTCCATTGTAGAAGAAAGAAATGAACCAAAACAATTACGAATACATATATAGGTACGGCACAAAAAAATCAATAGTTGGAAACTGTTGGTTTCAACAGGATGGTGCACCCGCACACAACGCTCTAATCGTGCGAAAATACCTATTGGACACATTTTTCATTTTCCAAGTCCCAAAATGTGTTTCTTTTTAAATTTTTTCCCAGTAACCATAATAAATAAGATGGCATTAATGACAATATGTACCTTTTAAAAAGTGAGACAGAAATTCCAACTGTAATTCTAAGTGGGAAAGAATGATTAGACCTTCCAGAAATTTGGTGTGTACACTCTGTGATTTAAGAACAATGCCGAACAGTTTTTTCATTCAACAAAACATGCATACATTCAAATAACAAGCATAAATTGGCACAAATCTTGTGCAGATAAAACGCATTTTTTAAAAACCGTAATAGCTTAGTAAACAGTTCGGTTATAAGGCAGTGTACCTTCATGCTAGATGATTAAAGAGAAGGGGACACATAAATATTTAAAGGCCGCTTAGCATACATTCAAAATCTGCGCTATATAATGCAAGAAGAATCAAGTCCTTAGAGGAATTATCCTAAAAATTGTTTTTCCCTTTGTAGATACTTTCCTCCAACATTTTTGTGATATCTACCTACTCATAACAAATATAGAATATCAAAGACATCATGGATCCTTCGTGAAAAAATACATTTCATCTCTTCCTTTTATGCCTAAAAATGCCAAGAAGTGAGAGTACAAACAGACAAATTTTGTTTGATTTGGTTTTCTGATGCTTCAAAACTTCAAAGTCAGAGGTCATTTTTTACCCCAATATCTCCCTTACTGACGTTCAAGTGGCAAAAACAATATTGGCTTGAGAAAGTTGTAAGAGATCTCCGGAAAGAAAAAGTGAAATTTTAATGTGTACCTTAAAAATAAAAGCTGAATACAGCATTCAAAATTATAAACGTATCTATCATTACTCATTGCAAGATGTACCAAAATGTGTTTGGGCTAATTGTTTTAATCCTTGATCGTGCCAAGAAGGTAGAGGATATCTACCGAGAAAAAGAGAATTTCATCGACAATTCTGTAATAAATCTGAATGACAATGAGGCTGATGACGGAATTAACGACTTCGATGATTTTGAAGATCTCGAAGAAGATATTGATAACGAATGTTCATAAGCTGAGTAATCAATAAAAACCAAAATTATATGCATATATTCCTTAACGGTATAAATGGCCCCCTTTCTAATAATTACCGTGCGTAACGTGTAATCCTTCAGTGACCCCCCCCCACCCGCTCCGCGTAGACTGTTTCTATAATCTCGTTCCCTCAAAATATATAATTTCTAAAACCCATAATAATTTTATCAGTGATTATTGTTCATGATAAGTGCTTTTAATTGCAAGAGATCCGTGTTTTGTAAAAGAAATTAAGAACACGCACGTAGAAATAGTTGACTATTTTGACATTGACATTTTTGTTTGATAGTAGGTAAATAATAATTAGTCCAAATTGATAACGCGCCAAAATTTGGAACATGTCAAAAATGGCAATGTGCCGGAAGTTACTATTTTTCAAAAAATATCTGACAAGTGCACGTGTCAAAATTTAAGTACAAATATCAAAATAATGAGTTTACACTTATGCGCTAAAAGGTTGTCGAACGATCTCCTCAACGTCTTACTATGTGTTCTGAATCTACCTATTTCAGATGTATAAACCATTTTCCTTCTTCTTACGTTTGCTATCAGATCTACTAGATTCATTTTTGTTATTAAAAATATATTAGGAGATGAAAATTTTAGTTAAGACACTGTGTAACCATCAAATTCTAAGTGGATACCCTTTTTGCTTAGTCTTGGAATATTTTATTCATTTAGTTTAGAAAATGCAGGGAGATAATCGTTTATTAATCATCTGTACACTGCGCTGAATTTCATATTATTCCAAAGAACCTATACCTACCTACACGTGACTAGAACGCTTATTGGGGATTATGGTTTTTTATTGTAAGTAGAGTAGGTAGAAGGTATGGTTATTGTTGGTGCCGTTATTGTAATCGATTATTAACCTACACTGAACGGTGTGGGTTATTGTAAATGCGAATCAAATTAATTCATTCTATAAAATAATAAAATGCTTACCTGAAGAACCCACAAATTCGTAGTCATAATTTGATTCTTCAAATTCATTTCGATAAGCTGTGACAATTTTAATCCCATCCATACCGTTAAAGTTTCGGAGTTATTGACAACTGGTCTAATTAATCTATTATAATTACTTAATAAATCATCGTACAATCTTTTGGTATCAGGGGTCGCCTCAATTTGTTTGAGAGCCGCTAAAAGGAGGAGTTTGGTATTAGCATGTTAAGCGAGATGTTTGTTAGTTACTTACCACACACATGACCGTATAACAAAACAGAAACGTAGGCCAACAGTAACGAGGACCGTTTCAACATCATATTTTATATACGCTGAGACAAATCTCGCGACATGCTGGAACTGGACCAGCCCTAAAATATGGATCGATCGAAACGCGCGCAAGCTCTTGAAGCGCCTTCTTTGACAATGAGTCGAACTTTTCACGTTGAATGAGTAAAAAATTAGTTTTATCCATTCGAGTAGAAAAAGGATTTCAAACAAACTTCATCTCCAATTAAATATAATTTTCTTTGATAATGTTAGCCCAGCATGGTGATACCTTTGTCACAGAACAGCAATTAGACGTATTTGGTGTTCCCTTTATGTTTGATTCCGTCTGCTATGCTATGTATAAATGGGATCGTACAAATTACTTGAATCGATTCGTCTACTAATTCTAAAGACCACCTTTTTGTTTAGTTCCAATTATCGGTTCTTACAATTTCAGTATACGGGCAAAATTGGTAAAAAATACCTTAATCAATACTTTCTTGTCTGAGTGGGTTCTGTGCAAGGTTCTGTGTAATGGTATTTACAACATTTAATACTTTTTGTTACCTCTGATCGTATCAGTAGGCTATAACGTGAATCTCCAATGATGCTTACCTACAGAGGACCATTGTTGACAATAAAATCAAATGATTTCCTCTCATATACATAATTAAAACAAATAAATAAAATACGCAAGTATTAAGTTTAATCCGCTCATTGATTAAGTATTCCCCAAATTACAGAAATTATGGACTGTACTAATGACCTATATGATATGGTTGACTTTTGTTGGATTCATTGCAGCAAATTTCGGGTCATTTTACATTCGCACGAAATTGCAATAATAATAAAATTGCGTTACAATAATCAGATTGCATAATTAATGGTTGGTTCACGTTGTGACATTTTTCTTCAGTAATTTGTCAAGGAAAGTTCCGTAATGTAAATTGAGCTTACGTAAAGTTTGAACAGTCTGCCTTAATCATGAACAAGATTCCAATTATTCTGCGTTACTTTATTGTTTTCAAAGTGATGAATAAATTACAATGGGAATATCATTGTATATTCGATTTTGATTGTACATTGGTTAAAAAATACACGATTTCTCAGATATCAGAGTTATTAATTAGTGAACGCCATTTCAAATTAGAACCACTTGCCAAATTCTTGACAGAACACCTTCCTAGAAGCTTAGCTCAAGGCAAATATTAAAAAAATCGTTTTATGGTGTAATATTTCACCCTTGTGTGGTTGAAGTGAGATGATATAGTCAGAGAAATGATTTTTTGTAGTAGGTAACTAGCAAGAGCGACACGTCACGCCATGGACAACCAGTTTTTACCAATTTTTAGGATTTTTAATTTAATTTTTCGGTTTGCATGAGACCTCACCGTTGCGTATTTTTATGCCATCCGATGGATATTTTAATTATCTATCCGAGGATGTTTTTATTTTTCCTGTAGGATGAAATGAGGAGCAGGAATTGTCGAAAATGTATTTTTTCCCATGTTTTTTCCCTGTCCCGCCGTCAACTTGCCACACTTTATACTTCTGTGATACCACGCATAATTTTAGGAATATTATTTTATGTTAATTTTATTATTATTATTATTATTAATAGGGTAATAGGAAATTATAATCCTTTAGATACAATAAAAGAAATAATAAATAATAACAAATAATGTTAATCAGAAAGACTGATTACGCAATGGATGGTTCATCCTGGATTTAATTTGAATGTAAATTTAAATTTAGATAAAAATGCAACATTATTGCTTTTATTTATTGTGATAAGGCATTGTAAACTGATAACGCTGCAGGTGTCTTTCTTTTTGTAGAGGATTTTCTTATCTTTAAAAATTATTTGTTAAGCTTTATTTTCGTAAAAATGTGGAGGTTTCATAAAATTCGACCAAAAATGTGCGGGTTTTTTTTTGTATTTTGCGACTTTGTGTTAACTCCGTGACACTCGAAAACGAGCTGTTACTCTCGAGGACGTAGAGTTTGTATCAGTTTTGAATGGATGGTTTTTGAAATTTACGTAGTAGTAAACAATAATAAGTCGTCAACTTTCATTTATTTTAGAGATAAACTTAACGTGTAATCAGGTGAACCCTGCATAAAATCATTAAGTAAAATGCATGAAATAATTTAGTTACCTACTTAATGCAAAGAATTTATTAATATGACTTATTTATTTATTTATTTATTTATTTATTTATTTATTTATTTGTTTATTTTATGGCACCTAACTACTCGTAGAATCCTAGAGAATGCTAACTAGTTTGATCTTATTTTCATTACACGAGTTAACTTTGCGCTATTCAATGGAAGAGAGGGGGAAGGACTCTCTTTGTAAGAGGCGATAAGTGCCAAAGTTTGAGAAATGTCGTGTTAAATATTGATCTTGTATCATTCCTAGGTTGCGAGAAGAGTGTCTTGAGTGTCTAACCGAGATTCACGACTTGAGCTACTGACACAATTTGATCCGTCTTTTGGCCCATTATTTTCCTCGACTTTACTTGTGAACTTGAAAGCGCAAAACTACAAACTGTGAGCATCAAACCACAAAAAAAGGCCCAGAACAAGAGAGGTACAATAAATAAAGTTAAAAAGTAATCGTAAACGATTTACAAAAAGCGCATTTCCACTTGCATTCATTTCCCATTTGTGAGATGCAACTTCTGTGAAAATCTTAAAAATCCGGTCATAAATATGAAACATAGCCTTGCAAATGTGCAATCCATTTTTGCCGTGCTACTTCAGTTTATAAGAAGAATTTCATTTCAATGCTTTTCTAAATAAGAAAGTTTGAACTGCGCATGCTCAAATCCAAATTTTGAAACTAACGTTAGATTTTCCTTTGTTCCAAGCGCCTGTATCAAATTTCATTTAAATGCTTCCATAAATAAAAAAGTTGACACTGCGCATGCGTAAAACCAAATTTTGAATCTTGCAACGAACTTTCCGGTCTCTCTCGTCCCGTCACATAAAAGAAACAAAAAATGTAAGGCACGGACAAATATTTAATGACTGGATAAAGTACAAATTAAAAAATACGATATTAAATGTGTTTGAGACGGCGGGATCGGTCGACGGAGCTTCGGGCGCCACCAGACGATAATCTCGCACCTGGACGAGAACGGCGCTTCTAATAAGACGGGACTCCACGCAATTTGACTAGGTTGGCTGTTTCTTGGAATTTCGGGTGATTTGCTAAAGGTCTGCGATAACGGAATAAATCGAACGACCTTGCAGCTTTTAATGCTCGTTTTAAAACAGAACGTAGAGAAACTAAAATCAATTATTAGCTAATTACCAGATCGGAAATCAACAATTGATCATTTTTCCTTCTCCTCTAATCGGAGCGATCTTTCGAATGGTGCAGAAATCTTTGCAGTAGCTGGACAGAAACGCTTGCAATCGGCGCTGGCGGCCGATTAATTGCCTAGTTTAATTACGGTCACGGCGGTGCGGCGGGGGCTAAAACAGAACTATACCTTTTACCTGTAGTTTGCATCTTCAATTCCCAGCACAAACACTTTGGGCCCAACACTAGTAACGAAGCGATACCGGGTGGTTATATACACGGTGGTGCCAAAACCCAGGTGAAAACTAGCTGCTTCGTTACAAACTGGCGTTTGATTTTCCTTTATTCCAAGTGCCTATGTATCAAATTTCATTCAAATACTTTTATAAATAAAAATTGCAATTCGGTTTATAAATGGTCGAAATGCGAAAAGAGCTGTAACAGTTTTAAAACAATGCCAACATGTTGTCTATATTTCACTTTTATTCACTCTGTGTATAACTTTTTGCGCCGCGCTGAATGCAACCCATCTAGTAACTTTATGCATTTGCGTTGGTGTTATTTTCATATCTATCTATGTTCGTATTGGCACAGATCTACACATACACAGATTGCTAACCTTATGCATTTTTTGGGAAACAAATTTAGGTATA